CTGTACCAACGATGCATTAGTGTTCCAATCTGACAAAGAAAAAAAATCTTCAGATTCTTCCTGATATGTTGATCAGTATACCAATGGGCTTTGGGATAGAGGTGACACAGATGTCATCTCATTTGATCCTCACATGTACCTTGGGAAATAGGTGCTGTTATTATTCCTATTTTACAACTGAAGAAAGAGATTAAGTGACTCTACCAGGGTCACAGCTAGTAAGTATGTGAGGCAGATTTGAACTGAATTCTTCTGACTCCAGACCTCTTACCCTACTTGCTATGCCATTTAACTTCAGGAGCTTGTTTTTATTTTTGCTTGCATTTGTATTCTCAGCACTTAGCACAGTGGCCTAGCACACAGTAAGTGCCAAATAAATGCTTGCTGTTGTTGTGATCCCAAATGTGATTCATCACTTAATTCTGAGTAGCATTGCCTTTGGGTGCCCTATACTTTCAACCTTTCTCCGAGCCAAAGAGGGAGCAGAAAGAGAATGAACCCTGGAAATCCTGCCTAATGGCTGGGCATTAATAATGGATAGAATAGTCAAGCCCAAGAGTCCTGAGCATACTAGTGATACCAAACCACCAGGCCAACTTCCAGCCCAGTCATCACAATCATCATCCAGAGAATCAGCCCCCATGAAGATGCAACCTGACAACTGCTTCTGAAGGTGCTGAGACCTGACTCATTCAAAATTTGCCGGCTTAGACAAATAGACGGGGTGAATTTTTTTTACACATTTCTTGTCCACAATTGCAGTTTGTTATACCAAATTCCCTATGGTCTCTGAGCAAGTCCTTTCATTTGCTTCCCCAGTGCCATACAGTCAAGTCTCAAGACAGCTAACACGACATTTTTATATGCAATTCCTCACATACAGATGAAAATCACAATTATCTCCAAATACAGTTTCAAAATTCACAGAACAAGTAACATTTCACCAAATTCCCCAAGTAAGCCAATAAAAAAAAGAATTTTTACAAAGTTTACCAAATATCTCTGCTTGCTTAGTCTTATAGAACCTCTATCAATCTGAAGGGGTGACAGGACCTGAGCCCCTAAAAGGAAAAGATGATGCCTTTGAAAGCAGCCCAGTCCCTAAATTTTCCCACATATTTCGGGAGCCCAGATCACTGGCACCTCCCCCTAGGCAGCTGGCTTAACCCAGCCCACCTAGATACTCAACTATCCTTTCACAGTGGCTCTGGCCCACCCCAGACCACTTAATACTCCTCTCCCAGCCCTCTAGACCCACCCAGACCACTTAACACCTTTCACTGTCCACCTGGTCACCCCAGGCTATTTACAACTCCTTAATCCCATCCAGATCTTCGCACTTTCTTTTTTGTATATAAGTATCAGTCTCACCCCTATGAAGTCAAAGATTCTCTAGGAATCTCATCTGCTCCTATTAGCATTACAATAAACCTTGCCACCCTGACTAAAAGAAGGTTTGAGAGCCTGAATTCATTCTAGATGGATGATTCCCCCACCCTGACATCTCAGGGTTCCTAGCAACCCCAAACCACATCAAATCCACACCAAAAAAAAGAGGAAAGACAAAGAAAACTGGCTTCCATCTTGAGCCAAAACCTGGTCCATATTGAGCTTTCCAAGTTACATAGAGCTCTCCTCACTGAAATTTGGGACCTGGGAGTCACCTTATCATTGCCCCCTTTTTAAATGAGGAAACTGTCCGGTGTGGAAACTTTTTTGGTGATTCTTTCCAGACATTAAAGCCATCCAACTAGGGTCTGGGGTGGAGCACTGATCTTCACCACTGAGATGAAAGTCCTATACCAGTGGGATTTGTGTTACTTGCATTCCCAGCAGTGTAGTACAGTGACTGGCACATAAAAGGCATTTAATAAATATTTATTGAATATTTATTCACATGTAGGTGGGTGTGCACACTTAATAAATGTTTTTGAATATTTATTCACATGCATGTGTGTGCACACTTAATAAATGTTTTTGAATATTCACATGCGTGTGGGTGTGCAAGCACGCGCGCATGCGCGCGCGCACACACACACACACACACACACACACACACACACACACACACCTTCTCCTGTACTTCAATGGAAAGAGTCCTGGGTTTTCACTCTGAGGTCCTGGATTCAAATATCCACTGTGTTACTTAATACCTGTGTACCTAGGTTTAACCTTTCTAGGTTTGTTTCCTCAGCTGTAAAATGAGGAGATTTACTTGATGACTTCTAATGCTCCCTTTGCTTCTATTACTCAATCTATCACCCTATGGTGCCTACAATTCCTCTGACGTGACCAAACTTTTCATTCTGTAGTTAGATAGGAGGATTAAAATACAAATGCCTCTTGGAGAGGTAATTCTAAGGGGGAAGAGCATTGGGCTGGGAATTAGGGAGACCAAGTAAGTTCTAGTACTAGGAGTTTAGTGCCCTGTGAGCTTAGATAAATCAAGTTTACCTCTTCTGTAAAATGAGGCAACTGGACTAGGGCATGGCTAAGGCTTCTTCCAATTCTTACATTCTCTGATTTTACTATAGCACCCAAGACTCTCCTTCATGTGGCCCCCCTAAAAGCCACACTGAACTTCACGATTCTATTTGTATTCCTCAAAAGCCCCAATCCATGAATCCTTCAGACTAAGCCAGAAGGCAAATACATTAAAAGTGTGTGGGATGCGACTCAAGTTAAAAAAAACACTGAGAAGTGTTTCAAGGTAGGAACAGAAAGGTTTATTTTCAAATCTCCAGATTCAGGTGTCCCTCTACCAGTATGCTCTGATGAGGGAAGACAGAGTACAGAAGCAGAAACCAGATTGAATAGCCCACCAACTGGCCAATATTTGGCTCGCAGTCTGAAAGTGAAACTTTACCATAGAAACAGAAAACAAAACAAAGGAACAATATACATATCTATATTTCTAAAGTAATGACAAAGAAGCAATTAAAAATGTGCAGTCAAGCTAGACGCTGTGCTGTGTAGCAAGGTCACCATGACTGAAATATATTAACAGGTGTAGCAACATGATACAAGGGGGGGTTTCAGGAGTTTCAGACTTGGTAAACTTTAACTGCTGAGATAACAATGGCATAAAAGGGGGGGGTACTTGGGGCTGGATTCCCATAAATCAGGTGATTTCTAATAAATCAAAACTTAGGCCTGTCGGGCTGCTATGCCTGCCTTGAGTGTCAATATGATTTCTATTTATTCTTCTAAGAAGTCTTCACAGGACCCCTCATCCCACTCAACAAAAACCATTGACCCCCCTGAGGAGGCTTCACTTCTGAGAGTTCATCTCTCACAAAAGCAAGAAAACATTTAATGAAATAGAATAGCAAAGTAAAAACAAGGATTGTAATTCTCCTAATCACAAAGGGATACACAATCCCACAGATTCCCACACCCTTAGGGTGAGGGACTCCTTCTCAGGTAACTCAAATCCTGGGGTTTCATTTCTGGTTTTAGCTCCCTATCCTGGCTACTTCCCCACAGTGCTGAGCAGCTGCTGCTATCTGCTACTGCAGCTGCCATCTGCTGCTGCCGCTGCTGCCATGTGCTCCTCTGCTGAGCTACTGGCCACCAATGGCCTCAGCAAAGGCTTTTTCCTCCTAGGAATTGTTATTATTCCCTTTGCTCTTTTGTGTAAGCTAGCCGGAGCTCTTTTCCTAGTCCACTCTAGCATCCTCACCTAGCCAGGCTAGAAAAGTCCTTCAAGATAAGGCTCTGCCATTTTCACCACCTCATTCCTTAGTAGGTGTAAACAATCTGGCTACTACCTGATCTTTCCCTGAGAGCAGATTTTGGTAGAAGTGAATGGGAAAGAGCAGCAGGAGAGAAGAAAGTAAATGTTGGGGGGAAAGGTACTCTGAGTTTACAAAAAAAAAAAAACCCACCAAAAAACAAACAGCAACAAAACAAACCAAAAACCCTGGGACAATGGAATTAAACAGCCTCTTCTTCACTATTTTGCTTGGGACAGGCCCTTGTGGTGTGATTTGAAAGAAATGATGTGAGGAGAGATAAATTTGATACCAACACATAGCACAGTAGGAGTCCCTGGAAAGTCCACTTCCCCCTCCCGACCCCTAATCGATGTTTTCGTTTTTGTTTTTTGCTAGGCTGATTTGTTTGAGTTGGGAGCACACTTCCTTAATCAATCCAGGCTCTATCTCTGTAGTCTCTCCTAATTTTTAAACATCACAGTTTAGCTCAAAAGCTGTGGCTGGAGATGTGGTCTTTTCTTTGTGAATTATGCCCTAGGATGAAAAGCAGCTTTAGGGACTCTCAATCCACTGAAAACAGATCCTGTCACTGACATGCCTTGCTCTGATAGCCCAGGATGCTGAGGATTCAAGGAGTTTTCAGGCAGAGCTATAGATTTCTGGCTGACTTTGTCTGCCTTGTGCGGCTCTTTGGAAGTATAGAATGGACTCAAAGCTGAGTGTCTCTGCACACTTTCTTTTCATAGGCATTCATTTCTAACCTTAGAGGGAGTGTTGCATTACTTAGTTAAACAGTTCTGTTCAGAGGGCTCTTTTCATCTAGCAGCAACTCACATGGGCGGTTCTTTTATCTCCTACTAATCGGGGCTACCCAGAGGTGGGGAGATGGAGGGCAGCCTAGGGAAGGAGGCTTATTTAAATAAAGCCAATTTTTTAGACCTGCTTTGCATTGCAAATGCTTCCCATTGGCCTTGGTGGCTTGGGTGGAATAAAGACAGATTGAAAGCACGGGGTGGTTTGAATTCCTTTCCATCTTTCCATTACCTCCTTCTCCAAACTGACTTCTCCATATGGCATTTTGGCTGCGTATTCTGATCTTATATCTGAAGAAAAGGAGGCTGGGATTCCATGGGGTGGCCTGTTGTAAATGGGCTTTAACATGAGATGATTTTCAAAGCATCTTTTCTAAGTAACAAAAACTTTCATTGATGTCTTTTACTTCCTATGACAGTCATTTCTGGAGGTACCCCCCTTCCCTACCCCAACCCCAAAATGACCCTTCAAGTATAACAAAGAAAAACAACCAAGCAAAATCATATAGCACAATGACGATGTCTGATTGTATATGTAATGTTCTGTACGCCTAGTTCATCACCTTCCTACTGAAAGGAAAGGGACACTACTTCATCTCTTTTCCAGGGCTTAGATTCATCATTACAATTATTCAGCGTGTGGCTTCATTTTAGTGTTGTCACTTACATGAATGCAGTCATTATGCATATTGCTTCCAGGTCACACAAATTGTCCAGTGTTTCTCTGAAATCCTCATATCCATTGTTTCTTACTGTCTAATAATATTCCAAGTGGGCATCTACTTTGTTTCCAGTTTTTCGGTACCACAAAGAATCCAGTTTCTTTTGAGTGAGTCAGGTAGGTCCTATAAGCTTTGCAATGACTACAGTGATGGAAAGGAAAACAACACCAAAAGCTGATGAAATAACCAATCTTGGTTCTGAAGAACAGATAATTCAACATATTTCCCTCCTCTTGATAGACAGATGGAGAGGACCAGTTAGGAGAGAATATGCCACGCTATCAGACTTGGTTTTTGTCTCTTGGTTCTAATTCTTTTTCTTTGTGATTAGGAAGATTTTTATAATGGCAGTGTTAATACCAGGAAATGACTGTGGTGTAATTTAAAAAAAATAGCAATAAGGCAGCTAGGTGATGATGCAGTGGATAGAGCTCTGGTCTTACAGTCAGGAGGACCTGAGTTCAAATCCAGCCTCAGACACTTGACATTTACTAACTAGCTGTGTGACCCTGGGCAAGTCACTTAACCCCAATTGCCTCACCAAAAAGCAAATAACGAGAGAGAGAGAGAGAGAGAGAGAGAGAGAGAGAGAGAGAGAGAGAGAGAGAGAGAGAGAGAGAGAGAGAGAGAGAGAGAGAGAAATCTGGGGCAGCTAGGTGGCACAGTGGATAGAGCACCAGCCTTGAAGCCAGGAGAACCTGAGTTCAAATCTGGCCTCACACATTTGACACTTACTAGCTGTGTCACCCTGGTCAAGTCACTTAACCCTGATTGCCTCACCAAAAAAAATACATAATAATAGCAATAAAACTTTATATAGTAAAATGAGTATTTACTAAACATCCTGATAGTGGTGTTTTCATAAGTTTCTAGGGACCATTTTACTTTCAGTCTTCAGAAGATTCTTGGGAATTTTGGATAGAGAGAAGGAAGAGAGGGAGGGAGGGAGGAAGGAAGGAAGGAATGAAAAAAGGAAAGAAGAAAGGAAGGGAAGGAAGGAAAGAGAGAAGGAAGGAAGGAAGAAAAGGAGAAGGAAGGAAAGGAAGGAAGGAAGAAAAGGAAGGAAGGAGGGAGGGAGGAAAAGAAGGAAGGAGGGAGGGAAGAAAGGAAGGAAGGGAGGGAGGGAGGGAGGACTTATTAAGGGTCTACTACATGCCAGTCTAAGTGCTTTATAAATTTTATCTCATGTGATCCTCCACAACAACTCCGGGAGCTTGGTGCTATTATTATCCCCACTTAACAGTTGAGAAAACTGAGGTAAACAGAGGTTAAATGTCTTGCCCAGGGCCACGAAGCTAATAAGTGACTGAGGTACAATTTGAACTCAGGGCTTCCTGATTCCAGAACCAGTCCTGGCCTCCAGGAGCAGAAGAATGACCCAAGAAGGGGAGAAGGAGAGTGTGATCAGAAGAAATCTATGTCTCTGTTACTTCATGAGTACAGTATACACAAAAGAAACATTTTCAAATACTCTTTGGAGATAATTATTTTATCTGTTGGTTGAGAATCTGGCTACACTGATCTGAAGAGATTGGACCATAATGGACTCCCTAAAGGCCCACAGTCTAAGGCATTTGTTTTCTGGTTAGTTTGGGAACCTGCACATTTTACACTTCTCTGCAATGAGAGGAAATGATTGTTCCTTCCTGGAAATGCTGCCCCTTGATTGGCCTGTCCTCCTGAGAATTGGTCACACTGGTTTTGTGGGTACTATGTCACTATATGCATCATGTAGCTCTGACCAGCAAATCTTGAACTATTTAGTAAAAGCAATGCCCTCAGGAGGTCTGGTGATAAGAAAATTCTAACCACAAATTCTCCCAAGAATGTGACTTCGGTGGAAACTGTTAGAATGATGCATCTCTCTGGCAGGGTGAGTGAGTAAATCAACCTATTCACCCAATTCACTTCAAATAAGCTATAAATTGCTATGCTCTGAAACATTTTCCAAGCTAAAACACATTTTAGTTATAAACAGTGTGTGATAGGAAGTCTGATTACCTGAGGGACTTGATAAAGCCTTGAGAGAAATTAATATTATACTATTATATTAATAATTAATTGTGATCCACCCTTTTTCCTTCTTTTTCTGTCAATAGTTGTTTGCACATTGTCTTCCCCATTAGAAAGAGAGCTTCTTGAGGGGCTAGAGAGATTCTTAACCTTCACTTTTTGACGGTATTTTTTTTTTGATGGACCCTTTTGGCTGTTTGGTGAAGTCTATGGACTGACCCTATCTCAGAATAATGTGTGTAAAGGCATAAAAGAAAATGAAAAAGATTACACAGGAAACTAATCACGCTGAAACAAAGATATAAAATTTTTCTCATCCAAGTTCATGGATCCCCTGAAATCTATCCACAGACTCTTTGGAGGTATGTTGGATTAACCCAAGTCAGTTAAGGCAGCATTGGTAGTTGGTCATGTTGCCAGTTATGGGAAAGAAGCTATGTCAAAAGAAACATAATAGGGAAGCTTCACCAGGCCTTGGGCTGGTTCTCTTAAATGTTCTCCTAAAAATGAGGGCAGTAGCTACATATACTTAAAAATGTTGCTGTAAGGAACTAAGTGCTTACTGTGCATTTACAGGCATATAAAGTGTCCTTGGATGCACTTTGGCTTCAAGTATGGATAGGACCCCATCACTTCTCCACCTTTCAAGTAGGCAACCCACATTTGTAGGAGAAGGCCCACATAGGGGCAAATATGGACAGGGGAGTTCAAACACTGTTATTGTCCCCACACTCTCTGGATCATGGTTCTGTCAGAAGAAGAATCTTCCCAGTTTTCTACCTAATACATACCAGGCTCAGGCTCCCAGGCTGCACTTCCTATCAGTCGCGTGACTAGTTCTCCTTTGAAAATGATGAAATCCTGCAAAGTCTGAGAAAAAAGAGGGAGTTCTCCACCCCACCTCCCACCCCCACCTCCGTACTGTTATTTGAGGGCTTACTTGCCATTTTGTTTTGTTGTTTAATTTTCTTTTCACAAGTAGCATTTTGGAATGAGCAATGATTTTTGTTGTTGTTGTTTTCCCATCCTCTCTGATCTAAACCCGATTTTCCAGGATGGAGTGAAACTGATTTCCAAGGGTTAAGGGCTCTTGGGAATTTTTTCCAACATTCATTTGTCTGTATGGTGAGCATAGTGCAATGGGAAACATTCTTGGTCTGGAGTTCTGAATTCAGATCCTGACTCTGAACCTCCACCAGGGTTTACTTACTTTGTAAGCATGGAGAAGTCAATTCTCTTTTCTAGACCTCAGTTTCCTGTTCCATAAAATGAGGAGTCCTGGTCAAGTGGCCTCTAAAGTCTCTTCCAGTTTGAGGTCTAGAATATTATAGGTTCTGGTCCACACAGCATCATCAGAAGATTACTTTAATACTTAGAGTGGGAGTTCTTAATCTAGAGTCCATGAACTTATTTTTAAAAATATTTTGATAACTGCATTTCAGTCTAATTGGTTTCCTTTCAAAATCCTATGTTCTTTGTTTGATGGCTTAAAACCAGTATTCTGAGGAGTCTAGGTTTCACCAGACTGACAAAGGGATCCATGACTCAAAAATAGTTGAGGACCCCTGACTTAGGTGGATTTCAGAACCTCCAAAGGTTCTAGAATATTTATTCAAAATAAACAAATGGCTGGTCTCATGGCTTTCTCGTCAGTTACTCTCCAAATTTGTAGAACTCAGAGACCCTAAGGAGGGAACTGAGACCCAGATATGTTATAGAATTTGCCAAAGGACACCCAGGTGATAAGCAGTGGAACTCGTATTGGAACCCAAGGCCTCTGAGTGCAGGTGATACCCTCTCTCACACTATTCAAAGCACACAGCCTCCTATTACAGTCTACATCAAGGCTTTTGTCAGAGCTGCTGCCCTGCCTGATAAAGATATCCCTTTTTTCTCTTCTTCCTCTCTCCCTTTCCCCTTTTCAACCCTTTAAGCCACAATCTGTATTTTTATATGGGGGCTTCAGTTTCCTTTTTTTCTTTCCCTTATTTTAAACTGTCCCCCTAAATCAAATTTTTCTCCTGGAGTCTGTGATCTTGTTTTAAAAAAAAAAACATATCTTTTGATAATTGAATTTCATATAATTAGTTTCTGTATTTAAAAACCTTATTCTGAGAAAGGGTTCCATAGGCTTTGCCTATGGAGGGATCTGTGACACACATTAAAGGTTAAAAACCTGTACCCTCAATTCAGCAGCCTGCTTCTCCTCAGGGCAGTCTCCTCCCTCTGCCAATCTTTGGGCCCTGCCCTGTTGGGAATTTGTTTTGCATTTTGGAAGACAGAAAGAGTGATTGCCAGAGAACCCCTGCCCTCCTACAGCCTGCTTCCCCACAATGGCTAGAGAGAGGAGTGAGGGTCTCCTCTCCCACATCCTGCCTGGTTACCTAGCAACCTCCTTCAGTCCTCTCTGACAAGTCACCGCCTGCTGATACACACCCAACAAAGAGGAAAGTGACACCAGAGCTCCAGGCACTCCCTTTACAAGCCCCCCTCCACCTCCTTGTTCATTAGCCTTCATTAAGGGGCTTGCCAAAGGCCCCTCGATGCCCCCTCCCTGGCGGGGTCACTGCTCCGTTATGTGACTCCTCATGTGGATCTTGGAGTGATGGCAGTTTTTCAACATTATCAATATGCGGGTATGTACTGGGCATTTCTAATTGAATCCCTAATTATTTCCCATGTCCCATCACCTTTCTCACACAAGGTATGACCATAGTCATTTTATCGGCATCTTTCAGTCAGCCTCATGGGGTGTGTGTGTGTGTGTGTGTGTGTGTGTGTGCGCGCGCGCCGCGCGCGCGTGTCAGCATCCATATTCATACATGTGTCTTTTTGTTTCGATATTTCATCCTCCCTTTTGAATTTGTCATTCAAAGAAGGTGTTGTTTGTTTTTAAGTCTCCTGCCGATGTCCACTCCTTTTCACACAAGAAGGGGGCCGGCTCTGCCGCTCTTGCTCAGAGACCATTTGCTCGCTCCACACACCCTTCCTAGGTTGCCTGCTCTAAGTCAGTGGTTGGTGCTGGGATTTCGGTACATGCCCTGGGCTAGGCTATAATGGTGGAGAAGATCGGGATGCAGCACCTACCTAGAAACCAAGCAAGGGAGTGTTTTCAAACCTTTTTCTTTACCACCCCTTCCAAACTGGGCTGAGAGAATGCCTCCTGAGCAAATCTAGATCCCAAGGAACTAAGTCTAGAGGAGGAAAAGATGTACCCAGCAGGGCTATGAAAAATCAGAAACAACTTCATTGCCCAATAGTATCATAGGCTAAACAATCTGCTGCAAATGAACTTAACGGAACACCACGGAGTTATCGAAAATGACAAGCAGGTGGATCATGCAGCCTTGTAGAAATGCTCATCTGAAATATTTTGTCTTTAGTTGTTGGGGGATAAATGAAGTAGACATGTGTGCTTATTGTCTGTAGGACCTTGGGCCAATCACTTCCCCTTCCCTAGTCTCATTTTTCCAGTTGTAAATGAAGGAGTTGAACTGGACCGTGTCCAAGATCCTTTTCAGTTCTAGAGCTGGGATCCACCGATTTTATCATACAGGGAACTCCCTCTATGGATACAAATGGATAGTTTCTCACAACAGAATCTGCCTGGGCCACTGAGAAAGTGACTTGTCCGTGCTCACTCAGCTAGTATGTCAGAGGCAGAATTTAAATTCAGATCTTCCTGACTCCAAAGGTTAGCCCTCTGTCAGGACACCTAAATATGTCTCTGGAATCAGGCAAAGTGAGAACAAAGTAGTACAAGAGGCAGAATGTACAAACTCATTATGTCTAGCAGTGTAATCAAATAGAATGCTGGATTTGGAGTTGGAGGACATGAGTTTGAATCCAGCTCTGCCACTTACTACCTGGTGACCTTGCAGAAGTCACTTCTTCCTACTTTAGCCTCATTTTCCTCCTCTGTAAAATGAGGGATTTGGATCTATGACCTCAAAGATCCCTTCTAGCTCTAAATCTTTTATCCTGTTTTCATTAATGAAGATGTAAGAAGATTTTGGAGTGATGGTTAGGATGTACATGTGCATTCAGTTCTTTTTGTCAAGTTATTTCATAATCTTAATTTTTAAAAGAAAAAAAAAGAATTGAGATCCTTTAAGAACTTCCTATCTACAAAGTAGATTTCTGCGTCAGGGTCATGAATTTTAACAACACACTATGATTCACCATGAGAAAAATGGGGATGCTGCCTACACACACACACACACACACACACACACACACACACAGGGCGCGCGCACACTCCTCCCAGGGGCCCTCTGCTAGAAAGAGGGCAGCTGCTTCTGGAGGGAAAAAGGAAAACCAGAGAAGTGATACCCTCAGGGGAAGGAACAGTAGCACCTTTTAGAGTACTAGGCTTGGGAGAAGAGACCGGTTAGAAGGTACAACAAGAATCCTAAGCTAATTTCATTATAACTCTCTGAAATTCGACCATTAGGGCATCTATCCCTCTGGTTAAGACATTATGTCCTCCTAAAATGAAAAACATTCCTAAGGTTAAGAGACAATTATTGAAGCTCCCACCAGGATATCAACCCTCTCTTATTTACCTTCGTATTTATCCCACTGTCTAGTACAGTTCATTGCACATACTAGGTATTTGATAAATGATTGCTGAATTAATTAGTTAATGTTAATTGCGGAAGAATGGGGTTTGAGAGTGTGTGTATGTGTTGTGTGTATGTGTGTTTATCCCCTTTCTAATCCTAAATCTGACAAAAGCATATTTGGGAGGAGAGTACTTGGAAAGTTCATGAGGGCTCTAGGCCATGGGTTTGGGAGGGAGAGACAAGGGTCACCCTTTCCATCTCCACAAAGAAGAGGAAGTAGGAGAGCATTGCAGACAAACTCCTCTAACTTCATAGTTTTGTCCAGGCTGGTCATGAACATAATGTTGGAATCTAGTTGTGAGTGAGATCCCACCCCCCGCAGCAAATTCTGTGTAAACCTAAAGTAGAAGAGGAAAACATAGGGAACTTATCTCTGCACCTTCCTCTTGTGGCTCCAAGGGCCAAGTGCTGGAGCCAGTTCTCACAGGCTCCTGAAAGTCAATTGTTAAATTTTCTTGATAAGCATTTACACTTTGGAAATCAGCATACACAATGAATTGGGGCTTGGTTTATTGTTTTGTTGATAGCCCAGACTTAAGAAAGTGATGGAGAAAATGTCAAAGATGCAGATAAGCCTTAAAAATGTGTCATTTTCTCCAGGCCCCCCCCCAAGAGCTAGTTGTTAAATATGCAAAAGCGTACCATTGCTCTGTGGATCCCTGAGCTTAGGCAAGAGAAGCCCTGAAGCGCAGGGAAGAGGGGAGCTGCCTTAGAGAGCCCTAAAAGCACAGTTCTTGCTGAGAATCTGTGGCCTTTAGGTAGCGCTTGGGGACTTTTTTCCTATATCCCCAGCTCTTAGAACAGTACCTGGCACTTGATAAGCACTTAATAAATACACGTTGACCGACTAAAGTTTGGAAAATGCTTTTACACTCATCATCTTATTTGAACGTCACAACTCGGTGAGGTGGGCACACTGATAGAGGGGGAACAGTTAAGACCTGTGAATTCATTGAAGGTATAGAGAACTCTCAGTGTGGAAACTCCTCTCAGTAGAGCAGCTCCAGGTGCCTGGAATATTGACAGATTAATTGACTTGCCAATGGCCACAGAGCTGGTAAGTTATGGAGGCAGGATTTGAACCCAAGTCCACTTGACTCCAAGGTCAAGCCTCTTAACCACTTTGCCAGACTACCTCTGATACTGCAGGTATTTTTATTCACATTTTACAGATGAGGAAACTGAGGTTCAGAGAAGATAACTTGTCCATGGTTACACAGACAGTTTCTACTGCTCCTTTGTTTGTATAAGTGGGGAAAATAATGCAAAATAAAATCCTCGGTTTATCTTACAGTCACAGCATACAAGCTCCTTCGTTACTTTAAAAGAATATTTCTCCTGCTTCTACATGAAGCCTCTCTGAAGGGAGGATGTTTGGATGCACCAAGAAAGTACACTTCTACCCTTGCTGGAACAAACAGAGATTCTGTCTATCATTGCTGCTTCATTCAATAGCCAAGTGACAGTGCTAAACACCTTTCTCTTTATCCCTTACTATGAGACTCACTCACAAGGCTTCAGTTCTTTAAAGCGTGGTAGAGCTGCCTTTTGTTTCCCCAAAGGGAATCAACAGGGAGCTGACTCCAGCATCCAATCCCCTCTGGAGTCCCAAAGCTAGCCTAGTCCTGGATGAAGAGATGTTTGTCAAACTGTATTTAATTGTATTGAACCCCTTGCATTGGGGAGATTGTTATTTCTATCTGATACTGGGGGTTGTCCCAACTGGCTCCAATTTCTTATAGAATCACAGATTTAGAACTGAAAGTGGCCCCAGAGATCATCAAGTCCAATTTTACAGAAGAGGAAACAGAGGTGAGGAGTAATTTATCTGACGTTATGTAAGGAATATATGGTAGAAACAAGATTTGAACCCTGTTCCTCTGACTCCACAGTGTTCTTCCCACTATACCATGCCACTTTCCGACAAAGCATTCACATCCTTTGGGAGGATCTTTCCTTCACTCTCCCCTCCCCCCTCCCCATTTAGATAGTTTCTCATTAATGAATGACTCTGTTTGTGGACAGGAGGTAGGTATGAGTCCATCGAGACATTTAGCAATGGGGGCAGCTAGGTGGCATAGTGGACAGGGCACTGGCCCTGAAGTCAGAAGGACCTGAGTTCAGATCTGACCTTAGACCAAACACTTGCCACTTACTAGCTGTGTGACCCTGGGCAAGTCACTTAACCCCAATAGTGCCTTAAAAAAAAAAGACATTTAGCAATGGAAACATATCCTCCTAAGAATATGTATAGATAGCTTTTTGGTGAGTCACACAGCTAGTAAGTGTCATGTGTCTGAAGCTGGATTTGAACACAGGTCCTCCTGACTGCAGGACCGGAGATCTATCCACTGTACCACCTAGCTGTCCCAGAAGATATTCTTTTATGTGGGGTTCTTGGATTTTTCTTGTGCCTGGCTGTTAAGATCTTGACAGCTTTTCAACTGGGGAAAACGGTCACATCTGTGAGGCTAATTGTAGCCATTGAATCCACAATATAATTTTACAACATTTCAGCTTTGAGGAGAATGGCTTCAATAAACAGATAATGTAGACTGACACATTCCAGGTTTCTGCTCTTGAGTTTACACTACAAAAAAATTACTTAAGTGTTTTCCTGGGCATATGCTATAAAATGAAAATTCAACTGGAAGTTGCTTTCATTCATTCTGGATTTGAGCCATATTACAAAAATATATTAGTGAGATGAGCATGATGGAGTTACCGGTCTTAGAGTTAGGGAGAATGTGGATTCCAATCCTGCCTCTGATACAAACTATTTGACCCTTAGCAAATCACATAACCTCTCAGTGTCCCAGGCAACTCTCTAAAGGGCTATTAGTTACAGAGAAGGTACTGACTTGCATTAGTAAAGGAAGTTTGTCACTGAGTCCTTGCAAAGAGCAATGCAATAAAAGGCCCATTCCAATAGATATAGCTAATATATATGAGGAGCAGTTAGGTGGCTCAGTGCCTGGAGTGCCTGGCCTAGAGTCAAAAAGACTCATCTT